AATACTATAACAAAAATATATGACAAAATACAAAATAAGATGAGAGACAAACAAAATGTGAAGTATCGGTAATTTACTGTCTAAACATGAAAGAGTAATAAAATTGAAAATAAAACACAAATTAAATTAAATTAAATTAAATTAAATATAAAAGGTAAAAACTAATTTAAGAAACTAGATAATAAAAGAGATAGAAAATAAAAACATATTTTTAATTACAGATACGCGCGCGCGCACATACATTATTATTGAGATAAAAGATTAAGAACTCACAAAGATTATACTTTTTACGTACCCACAAAAAATGCACGCAAAATTGTAAAATAAACAATAAAATTGTACAATAAAATAGATTGTTAACATAAGAAAAGCAGCGTATCATGAAATTCTAGTATTCACGGCTATCGATTAAGAGGACGAAAAAATGGAACGCTGAGAAGTAACGCGATTATGTATCAAAATAATCCGAAAGAGAGAAGAGAAACGAATGAAAGAGAGCGAAGAAATGCATTTTCACGATATGCGGTTTACTTTTCTCGGTGAATGAAAAGCAAACAGAAAAGTCGCGTCTTCCTCGATTCTATGACGTTCCATCGATCGAATATGCTCGTCTTTTCCTTCTCATTTCATTCCACATCTTTCTTTTTATTTTTCGCTCATAATTCTCAAGACACCTCGCGCCATTCTTTCCACAAATGCAATAAGCGCTACATAGAGAAAAAGAGAGAAAGAGGCGCGGGAACGAAAAACCTTGGAGTGAACACCTCAGGAGAACTCTATGTTCTTCTGGTGACGCTCAATTATTACTCGTGCACGGACCAGGTCAATCTCAGGCTACTTTAAATTACTTACTCGGCGCGATATTCCAGAGGGAGCAGAAACTTTGTCGTGACTCTCCTCGGGGAAATTTCGTACGACAGATCGAAAACTAATTCGTCGCGCGAGGATCAAAACTAAAGCGGAATGTTGGAGGCAATGAACGAGACGCAACGAGACGGTAGAAACGCGAGATGCACGAGAAGAATCGAGCCATTATTCTCGAGCGGAGTTTTATGAAATCGCACGTTAGGCGATGCTGCCATAAAATGTTGTTTCAAGGAGGAGGTAAACGAGAAGAAAGGCAGTCTTTTTTCAATCTATATCTCATACCACGCCGCGTTATGCGTCAACTGAAACAGCGAACGATGCGATGATTTGGTGCACAAAACAAGCGAAGGAAATTGCCAGTTAGTTGAAGATTCGATTTTTCAGAGTCAATAACAGTCGATCCGCAGGACGCGATGTAGAGATGGTAACGTGGAAAGTGGTGGAAAAGAGGAGCCAGAGTATAGAAGGAGAGGGAAAGAGAAAGACAAAAAAGAAGTGCGACCTGCATAGAACGGCTAGAAAGCTCAGCGTAGGAAATGAGATCTACAAGTGAGCGAACTGGACGAGAGCGGGTATAACGCCGAAATGCAATTTTCATCCGGCAGTCGCCCACTCGCTTCTGCAACGCAGCGGCTACAGCTGCTGTCGTGCCGACCAATTCTCTCCCTCTTCACCTCTCTCCCCCTCCTCGTCTAGCCTGTGTTTTTTCCTGCACCACATCACCATTCTCTCGATATGTTTACCGGACTGATTGCATTCGCGTAGACAAATAATCTGATATTACGATAAAATAATCCAAGCGTGATGTTGCGAAATGCACGTAGCGCTCGCGTATGATAACGTGTATAAAGAACGGAGATCCGATTTATGGGTACACCGTAGACAATTGCCTGATGATGAATCGCATTCACACATCGCGAAAGTACACAGAAGTTTAAAATGAGAACACGTTTATTTTTCCAACAGAGACCATTATTTTTTGCGCCGCCATGATCCTTGTCGAGCATTTCTTGTGCTGGACGGGATAACGAAATTCACGAAACACACGTAGGGTAAAAAACGCGCATAGGAGCATAGAAAGAGATGTAGAGAGGTTGCAGAGAAAAAAGAAGGGGGAAAGGGAGTAAAGCGAAATAAAAAAAAAAAAACGAACGACTGGTTACCACTTCATTTCGAGCGCAGTCGAGCTACGGCTAATTAATGCACTTTTGTCGGTTTGCTGCGACCCTGCTCACGCTATACACGAGAAATGCGATGTAGAAAAGGGTGGTTGAAGCAGAGAGAAGAGTCTGCATGTAGTAATAAGATTGTATTACGTCGACTACTCTTGCATAATATTCCGTCTGTTCCGTCATGTTATGCACGAAGGAATACATATTAAGTAAGTGAAAATAGATCGTAACGGTAAAAAAGTGAAGATGGAGATGAAATAAAATAACATAATGCAATATAAATGTGATTATTTCGAAAGATTTTTGTGATAACATTATTTCATGGAAATTGTGAAAACTCTAAAGTAAAAAACAAGTATTGGTGGGTGTGGTTAAAAAAATGCAAATTATGGATTTGCAATTATATTGTGCTGTTGAATTTATGCATTAATTTTATCGTCTATATATATCTATTCCAAAGATGAAAGAATTATTATAAAGTTACAGACGGTATGAAGCCGAAAGTTGATTAAAATTCCTCAGTAATGCTGAAATTTATAAATAAATCTTCTTAATTACTTTTTCTGCCCTTTCATAGCGATATTCTCTATAAAAGTTATAAAACCGTACAGGATACAGGCGTATGTGTACCGTAATAACACATTCTTTTACATAAACAACATTCATATTCATGAATACGTGTTTGATCTCCACTCATCCATAATTTTTGTCAAAATTGATACGTAAGTACAATATGGAATAAACGGGAGATTTTCAGAATATCAATTGAAAATTACAAATCTTTTTTAAAACAATTATTCGCAACAGATTGTAAAATAACAGAAAATTTCGAAATGATTTGTGGGATAAAATATCTAAAATAGCTATATAAATTGTTCAGAAATGTCACCAAACACATATTAAAAATGTAGAAGAGGTACACACTTTACGCAAATGACTTAGCAATTAAATTAATTAAAATTATTCTCAGCTTAGAAATATAGCTTAATTTAGCATATTCATCAAACATAAAACAATAACAACAGGACATTTTTTTCAAAACCATGTGGCTTGCTATTCAAATAATCACACTGTTAGATATCAAAAAAGCAATGATAATTCAATCCTTTAAATTAAAAATAACACTTTAATATTTTTATTTTTCATATGTATCTAAATCGATTTATTTTTGTGGTTAATTTATAAAGTAAATAACGTATAGTTATAAAGTAAATAACGTCTTTAATTAACATGCATTTAGTAAATAATAAACTAAATTTGAGTCCAAATTTAATATATTTTCTTCAATTAAATTATTTAATTTCATTATTTTAGTTAAATTAACAACATATTGAATAGAAGTGACTTATAGAAATAATAAAAAATAACTTGAATTGAATATAATTTGACGTTACGAATTTAACAGTGTAGCGTCTCGAAAATCATTTTTCACATAATTCTGTTTATTTTAGTAAATTGTACTTGTAATCAGAATATCTATATTTATGTAAAAAACTTCTTCATAAAATTTGACCTACTTCTTTTTTGATACTAAAATTTTTAACAGCAACAACTTAACTCTTATTTATTTTATACTATTGGGTTGTCCGGAAAGTTCGTGCCGATGTTGAAGGAAAATTGAAACGCAAAAGATTTAAATTTTAGTATACATTTATTAAATTATATAAGTTTGTCGGGAACTTTCCGGACAATCCAATAAAACAATAGTTATTTTATACTAAAACTGATTATATTTGACATTATACAGTGTCAATTTAACTATATAATGTAAATTGACACAATATAGTGTCAAATTTAACTATCATTTTGGTAAAAAATGACGATATATTTAGTAGGAGGAGTGGCGACTCACGTTAGGTTAAATTTGACACTATAGATTTAACAGTGTACATGTTACAATTATTGAAAAAATTTGAAATATGAACTATAAGCTGTATATATATTATACAAATATTTTATATATTTTTGCTATTATGTATTTGTGTATATCAACAAAAAAATTTTAATATAATATTTAGAATATATTTTTATTTAAATACTTAAAAAAAATTTTTTCGTTCTATTTTGAAAAAATATATGACTAATTGTCTGCATGAAATATAATTCAGGTTTGTGAGACTTGCATGTTTAAATTATTTAATTGTGACGAATTAGTGTATTGCTATAAATAATGGTTGATATGCCTATTTTTGTTAATCTTTTGGAATTTGACAACTTGAAATAAATATAATTATGTATAATAATTAATATCTTTATGAAAAACGTTATGCTCTCACATTACACAGTGTTAATATATCAATTCCATAAAATTTGACGTTATATAAAATAATAAATTTTATTGTTTGAATCGTTTATCGACTGTATCGATATGTCTTTCATTATTATATATTATATGTACCTTTCAATGTATTTGTATATGAAATTATATTTTTTATGTGAAAATCGCTTATTTTATAGATGACTGTCACCGCAAAAACATATTTATCAGGAAATGATAAATTGACAAGAGAGATAAATATCGAAATCAATATAATCAATTTTACAGTGTAATATTTAGAGCATATTAAAGAAAGAAAAATCGAATAAGAAAATTCATACTCAAATATAATACAATAGAAAGCATTTATGAAGATGAAACTTCAAAAATAGACAATCTGACAAAATACTCTTATTAATTAATAAAAAATAGAATTAATAAAATGTGAGGCACAAATGTGTACATAAAATATATATCACATCATATCATATATATAAAATAATGTTTTGTGTTTTAAATAATTATTACATAATAATTTATGATGAAATGCTTTCAAATATATTCTCTCGATTATTAACATATCAAAGAGTTTAAACGTTTCATAATTAGCTGTGTATTTTCCCGCGAGCAAATGAATATCATTTTTGTCCCAACATATATCTGAAAATTTTATATACGAGCGCGAGAAAGAGAAATAGACTTACCAGAGAGCCAACTGATAATGGTGAACCGCAAGGTTCGGCTGCGACGTGTCTTTAAGGAAGTTTGCGAAGTTGTAATGCATCTTGGCATTGTAGGGTAGAGACCGCAGTCCCGCTCTGAAACAAGACGATTTGAGGTCAGACGAGACTATCCTCTTGACCTCGACATGACCCTTACCCTTGTCATCTCATATCTACGTTAGTTTTGTGTCCCTATATATAAACAATCGGTGCTTGTACCAAATTCTTGCATATGTATACATATATATTGCACACATACATACACACACACACACACACACACACACACACACACACACACACACACACACGCGCGCTGGCACGATGCCAATCTCCTTGTTTAAGTTAAAACTAGACACTCCTCGTAAATGTCCGATGCCTTCGCGTGACAAAATCATTTTTGTCGTAATTGCGAGGCTCAGATATGATTGCGTGCAATGTACATGCAATGATTATTTATGTTTGCTATTAACACGAGGAATTTATTCAAAGCAAGGAAATTTTTCTTCTCGAACGGTTAATAAAATATAAGACACGTAAATCCGTTGTCACGTACTTGATTAAAGTTTCTCTAGATGTCCAATCGTTATTCCGAAGAACCGTTCTGAAACATCCTAAAACGAATAGAAGAACTACGCCTGTAGTGATCCAGCTTTTCCGTCGTGGTACAGCGGTCCAGCTCACTTGCATGCCGTAGACGACCAAAATAATCCACCCAACACTGTAAAATCACATCGAGAATTTATACCATCCGTTGCAATAATTGTGAAAATAAATTATAAATCTTAAAATTACCTTGGTGTATATAAAACCCGTTCTGCCACGACAAAACCCACAGTGACAAAAAGATTGGATGCAGGTAGGAACGGCAGAACCAGGAACATCCAACCAAGAACTAGAGGCGGATGCCTTTGTTGCTAAAAAAGAATATAAGATATATTACTTCAGACATTTGTTGATAAATATAATTTAAATTCTCGTTAAATCCGACGCTACTGCATCGAAATCTCTTGAAGCAAACTGTTACATAAGTTTCTTCATCTTTACCGGATAAGTGTACTCGATTAAAGTTTATGTTATACTTATGTAAGTTGATGTTGCTTTTACGCAACTCGTATACTCGTAAAATTATGTTTAAATGCATTCGCAAGTTTTAAATGTATAACGAGTAATGATTTAAAACGATATATCTCGAATTGCCGCTTCTTAATTGACTTATCCAAAAGATAAATTTCAGAGTGTAAAGAAATGTATACATATCATCGGAGAAATTTTATTTAAATAAATAAAATCAAATAATCAAATCGTACATAAAAAGGTAATTTAAAATGATATTTTAACTTTGCAAAAAAACTTTGCAAAATATTTTCACATTTGCTAGAAAGAGTATAAAAGTACTGCGCCAAGTAACAGTTTTTTATGTTTTATTAAGAAACGAAGAAAGAAATGAAGCTTTTTCAATGATTTTATTTTTCTCCTATTATTTCTGTTAGAATATTACTTTATCTAAATAGTTTCCATCCAGCATCGTGATAATTAAACTATACAAATATACTCGTAAATACAGATTAAATCGCATGTGAATAATAAAAGAAAATATCTATCGACTTTCAAATTAATTCACATAAAGAGAGCCGCACAAATATATCCAGACATTCGCTTAAATTACATAAAAAATAACACTTGAAATTCATCAAAAAAAATTACTGCAACTTTAAACAGTCGGATTGCTATTTATTATATTTTTATGATTTGAGCAAAAATAAGAATTGCTAAAGCAGCATAAAAAAAGTTTGTGTGACAACTATAATTTTGTTTTAGCAAATTGGTCTTGTTTAGTTTGATCTTTAATCAATTTCACATTATTTTCATTTTATCGACCATTACGACACATAAAAATAACAAAATATTTTGAAACGGAAAAAAATCGCTTATTTTTCTGCATTAAGAATTCAAACTATATAGCGATATCCGCTCATTATATCACAGAATAAATGTTTAATATGCCATCTGATTCCACAGTGATCAATACTGCAGATGCTGAATAGTCGTATACGAAGTTATTGCATAAATCGGAATATCAGAAACATATATCGCGCCTAAACTGCAGATTACCTCGGGAGAGAAGCATGTTTACGAGACAAATGGAATGCTTCATAAACCTATGATATCGCACGACACGCACGGATCATTATCTCACGACGATATGAAGAGAATACCGAACTGCGACATGCATCTTCACAGGTATATGCATAGTGTATGCATAGTGCTTATTGTACTTTTGTGTAACAGAAGGTAAAAAGACAAGAAACGGTATATCAAAATGGAAACACATAAAATGGACAGACGCAGATTCATCCACAGCTTATGCATCTCATGCCTCTCATGTCACAGAACGTATAAATTCAAGATAGGAACGAGAGAGAAAAATATAAGAAAGTTTATATTTCGAAAATTATTCGAACCTGAAACAAAACGTGAAAGATAGATATGATCATTTTCACATGCAGCCATCAGAGAGGAAATTTCAACAAAGAATATTTTGTGACAAAATTGGACTCAATATTCTTAGTCTAGACAGCGAGAAAAAAACAGCAGTCTAATTTATTGAAAACAAGGATATAAAACTAAAATTATATGTAATTTATTGAAAACAAGGATATAAAAATAAAATAAAGAGAATATGAACATCAATTTAAAAATCGATAACATTTTGTTTCTAATAAATAGGTTTATTATTCTGATTAAAACACAAAAACAACGGATTTGATGGATTTTATACTTGAACACTTTCGACTGATTTACATCATGAAAAAAATATGATATATGGAAATAAATAAATAAAATGGGTATACAGGAATAAAAAATATACGAATAAAAATAAACATTTTAACATCAATAGAGATCAACGCTTTACTATCTATTTCATATCAATGGAAACGATGAGAAAAGTTAGCAAAAAAAGAAACATGTTAATAACAAAAATTTCCATGAGCGTGTCTTCGCGAAAGCTGTGAAGATGGATATCGAACATTATCACTTGAGAGATCAGAGTGTGCCGCCAACAATGCGATGTCATTCTCGTTGAGTTTATCTGATGAAAAAGGGAGTAAGCATACAAATAATTTGCGTTGCCATTAGTCGATGATGGATCGGCCACAGTTAAAATGAAAATTGAACACAACTATAACATTCTAAGAAGGACTCATCTTATAATAGATAATATGATGCAACGGAGATTGAAATGGGTTTTAGTAGAATTAAAAATCATCCACTGGCCGATGTGCTATCAGCCATCGCTATTTCATACAAAATGGGAAATCAGAAAATCCTTCACAGTATTAGCGACATATCAATATTCAACTACCACTTCAATCGCAATCAAACATTCGATAAATACAAAAACGTTGACAGAAAGTCAGAATTAAAAAAAAAAAAAAAATTAAGAAGTTACCATCAATAATATAAATACAGCGACTTCAATAAGCGTGAATATTTCAGGATTGTATCGTCGGATAATCTTCGTGAAGAAAATATTATATTAAAATCAAAACCAAAAACAAACTGATGAGACTGAAGAAAAGTCATTGATACAATACATTTACAAAAATGATCGGTATTAACAATCGCAGTGCAGAAATATAAACATTAAAATATCATAAGTTCAAAAATAATAGAATTAGAATTATTATATTAAGGATAATTTGGAAAATGAGAAATCTATTAATAACGCTGGTGTGAAAAAAAATTGAGAACAATTATTTACAATGCGTGAATTCCATAACACAACCAGCATAAAAAGAATAATAAACCTGACTAACGCAACTGTCATAGCAAGCGTACATACATAAAAAATAGCAAAAAAAAAGAACAAAAAGTGACATGAAAAGTGACATGAAGGATGATACATCATAACCGCAACAGAATAATTTAAATGTTTGAAAGAAAGACAAGATAATTACTCGCATGTTGTTGTCGACAGAAAAAACCAACTCCACAAAATGCATGTCTAAAGTTATGGGAGAGGTAACGTCATTCAACTCATGTATAGAACACGAACGTATTAGTGATATTATAAAAGAAAGTTGGAAAGTTTCTTCGAGCGTCGCGATGTCAGTGAAGACGATGTCTTCCAGTTTAAAAAGTTTAAAACAAATTTCAAGATAAATTAATGCGAGATTTAGTGACATAATTCCTATGCAAAATCACAGACAAAAATAAAGAATTTAAATAATCTTTAAAAAAAAAAACAAGAAAATTATTGCAAACTTATAAAAATAAATTATTTTCGCGATTTTTAATAATCTTAAAAATGTACAAAGATTTTGTATAAAAAAATTCCATGTCTAATTCAGGTTGTGAGGCGTTATAATAAATAAAAATAGATATGCATAGAAAAATAACTTTACAAATGTTAGAAATATATAACTATGTCAATAAAAAGAAACGAGCACCCGCGTTATCAAAGACAAACATCAAAGTGGCGTAACAACGGTAGCATCATTATCCAATTCACGTGCAGAAGCATAGACAGAACACAAATACAAATCTTCAGCGAGAATCCATAGAAACGACATTCTCCAGGAAAGTAAAAGATCGAATAGAACAAAGTAAAAATAATGATCGAATAGAACAGTGAAGGAGCTGTCACAAATATTACGGTATTCGCAGATGCAGTATCTCAAAATGATATCGAAAACATAAATAAATAAAACTCCTGAAAAGTATCCAACATTCCATTTGAATGTTGAATCATGAATAGATAATACATTTTCTTGAAAAATCGAACGAAATGAATGAACGGATATCGAGTACATCATTAGTATCTGTCGATAACCTTTCTTAAAAGCGAAAAGATAATTTTCAATAAAATTATCTCAGGTAACGCGCATTGTCTAAAAGATGTCCTTATGATGTCTTTCAGATGTCTTTTAAACATGTATATCCTATTTTTATGACATTTTTTTTTAAATATGCTCGTGTTTGAAAATTAGAAATTTTTAAGAAAACTATATTATTACAGATTATTAAAGTTGAAGGATAACAAGAAGCAAAAAATATAATAATATAGAGGAAAGATTTGTAACAAAGAAGTTACAGAAAATGAATTAACGAAAATGAATTTGCAAAAAATATGTAAATGGACAAAAGAATACAAGCTGATAATAATAATAAACTAAGATAATAGTGACTAAGATTTTTTGCATCGATTTCTTTTCTCAAATAATTAAAGAATGTAATACATACTATATATATAATAAATTATTTATCAATTAAAATTATTTTAACAGTTCTATTTTTTTTAAATTTTATATTATTATTGAATCATAGATTATTTTAATAAACGTCATATCATTATTTTGACGTCAAAATATCGACAAATACGTTAAGTTGTTTAAGAGAAGATATACATATATGTGTGTGTATATAACGTTACCGATAGATATTAAAAATGTAATTCTGACACGTGAAAGCAAGCATTATTATTAATATTCAAAAAAATCATGCTTAATTGAATGAAATAAAATTTGTATAATAGAAAAGGGCGAACAAAGAAAGCAACAACAAGTTCTTCGATCACTGACTAGGTCATTCTTAATGTTGTTGGTAAAATTATAAATAATTATGTCCTAATCATGGAAAATCTTGTGACTAAAAAAAAACGTTTAAATAAAAGTCGCATGTCTAAATTCTACTAATTAATATCGAAATTATAAAATAATATGTACTAATAATAGATAAAGTATTGTTATCTTAAAATTTACCAACAATTTACTAACAATAATTTATTTAATGTGATGACATGTGATTTATATTACATTATAAATCTATTAGACAAAATCTTAAGAAAACATTATCCGACTTTTCTACATAAAATATAATATTTTTTTATCTTGATTTTCTCTAAAACAAATATTGTAAAAGTTAACGTTCTCTCTCATGTTGGGATAAGAAAAAAATATAACTTACATAAGTTTTGAGACATTTACGAAATCTAACTGCGCTAATAAATTCCCAGATATACACACGAGACGGTAGAAAGCAATTATATTTGAAAAAGATTTTTCCCTTGACGCATAAATGCGCTACATGCATAAGAATAAGGTTGACCTCGTTTGAGAAGAAGACATCTGTTTCCACTTCGTGCCTGCGAAGAGCTAGGTAACCGCCGACGGTTAGTCAAGCGTGTGAGATGACATTAAAAGCACAGATATGACCTCTTTGAGGAAAAGTGACCATCGACGTACAGACAGCGAACCTTAAAGAGGTCATTATGTTGAAGGCTCAACGACCATCACAGATGAGCCAAAAGATATAGAGGACAAAAGTAGTTTACGAGATACGCGCGTTATCATTTGACTTGAAACTATTATGTCATGTAGTTATTACGAAACTTCTTTTATGACTCTCAAGCTAGGTACAATTTCATCATTGTAAACAATAGCCGGCAGGTACTCGAGTACTACGTTCTTATGTTATGCTATGTTAAAACATCTAATGGCAGGATGACATTTCGTAGATGATAACTGATGGTCATTTCACTTTATGATCTCGTAAGGTGACCGATAACATCGGCAAATCAACGATACCAGCCTCTTGAAGAGAATACTTTCTTTACGCAGCGATTCGATAAAATAAAGTAAAGGAATTTATGTAAATTTCAGTAAATCCAGATCTACAATAAGTGTTTTAAGCCTTAAGCCGTAAGAAATTGATCAATTGCAATCGAATGCGAGGAGAATAATCAATTGCGATTCGTCCATTTTTGACTTAAGGCTTAAAATCTATTGTAAATCCGGGCTAAATCTCTCTTCTAAAGTTCTACTAAGCTTATTTATATTATTATAATATTATACTGCAAAGGAATAATAAATGATTTTTCCAACGCTTGAAAGAATATTTGTGCATTACTCACTTATAAATATTCCGTTTAATTGGAATATAATATTTTAATTGTAATCTGCAATTATTAAATTTTACTCACTTCGAAATCCGTAAAGGCTTTGTACGTGAGAACCAGACAACCGCCGAAGAATATACAGGTGGCGAGATTTCTGGTATCCGTAAAAGACGTAACCAAAGGAACAGATCCCATTTGCCAATCGTGCGAGAGTATAGCTGGACACAGCAGCAACCAACAATTCAATGCTGCTAAGTAGCAAAAAGTCAACAATCTGAAATCAACAACAACCATTATCATTAGATCATAGTATAGTAGTATTTTAATTGATAATAAGTATACTTGATATTTTATAATTCCTTAAAATCCCTTCGGAGCTGACAATAGATTTTATATCTTTTGAATTCACTCAATTATAAATTTCTTTGTAAAAAATGTCAAACGGTTCTGTTGTCACTTTATGTTACATCCGCAAATTCGTATTAAATTATTCTTATTAAAATATACGTAATATTTATTCTTTTTTATACAAGTTATGTCATTTTGATTCCTTAAAATTAATTAGTATTTTTTAATCAACAAAAATTAAATGAGCCTTACAGACTCAGTGTGATTCCGTTTGATTTTGTTCTGAAATAAATTGTCACGTTCATTTGAAGTTGACGAATTCGTTGTCTTTTTTCCAAAGAAAATTGGCTGCTCGATTGTCGCGATGAAGGCAAGTTTTCACGATCGGTATTGTCCTCTTGGCATGAGGTGAAGAGGTCGGTCAACGAGGCCTGGAGTGGTATCCTGCTGACATGGAGGTTTCATTTTCTCACTATCAGCATCTATCGATATAATATCCTCCCCTAGTATTTCTACGGCAAGCGTCTGTACGATCTTTGACGAGAATATTCTCGGTGTATCGTCGCGCTTCTCGAGACGGCTTACTCGGCAAGTCTATTGTCTCTTGAACAAGCCCACGTACACTATGAGCCGCATAACGCGCTGGTAAATATTCACCCGCGTCGTTGTGAGTGTTAATTCCAATGGCTCATGAGCCCTTCTAATTGTCCCTGGCACCAGATGCGGCGACACCCATAGCATCGGCTTTATTCACCGGGTAGCCGAAAAGTGAATAAGTAACAACAGGACACGAGATGTAAGATATTTTAAGTCCGTTCTCCTAATAAATTATATTACGGTTGATACAAAAGCATGAACTTATTTGTGTGTAAATATAAGAGAGACATCACAAATTATGGTGGAAATACGATGAAGATTTATATGAGTAACTGAGTGCGCTATTACATCGCGATCGTTATATATCATCGTAGGTTAAATAAATTTTCTGTGCTAGTCATTTTTGATAACATATATTCCGTCAATAATATGACTTTTTAATGTATTGTAACGAATCACTGTTTCCCCTAAATGGTACATCAAAACGTACTGAGAGCTGGCATTAAAATTTAAATATAGAAAGAGACTCTCTAATTGCTCCCTCAGCGATAGAAAAATCTACATTCTGTGCAGCAATTGTTCTAAATGTTCCACGATTAACGACATTTATCCCTTTGTTATTTCGTGCTTGAGCACGTATATTGTTACTGCTACTTGCTAATTAATATCCATCTCTTGGACAGTCGGGAAGTGAAAAACGCAATGTAACTCGGAAAAAAAGCAAAGACAATAATGTATCTCGGCTCCAGAGCGGCCGTCCTTTTTCTGCATAATTTTTCTTGTCGCCGGTTATCTATATTTTCATTTTGTTGAAATGATTGATGAAAGCTTTTGCATCATGATTTCGCGAGACACGGGAATTGGGAGTTTCTGATGCAGGAATAAGGGGCGATCTGAAACGTCAAAATAATAATTTGTGGCATATGTCAAGCGCGATGCACGTACTGCTATATGAAAGAGCAGGATTTTCCCGAGAAAACGGTCGCACAGAGAGTGACATATTCCTGCACGTCCACTCTTTTTGGAAATTGCGGGTATTACAGAGATTGCTATAAATCTAGGAAGGATATTCTCAGATTTGTGGACTTTCATGGACTTCCATAGACTCGTCCAAACAAATATCCGCTTTTCAAAACTAGACCTCCATCACGTAGTTCGCTAGTTGATAATAATAATAGTAATAGCAATAATAATAGCCAGAGATCGTTATTCTATTTTTTTTTAACATATGCATGGTGTTCTAGATTTAACACATCACCTGCTAATAAAATTCCTGAAGTCATTTTGAGACAAAAGTTTAATATCATAATGTCCAGGCTAAATATTTTTTTTAACATATTAAATATTAAGAATTAGAAATATCAGTAATTTTATTTTTGCCTATATAATATTTATATCGATATTAATTTAATAAGAGCAACTATTAGCTTTTACTTTTAGCACTTTACGTTGTATCATTGAATGTGCAAATTTTAGACGGCATAATTTGTTGACTTTAAATAATTATAATTCAAAAAATATTATAGCCTCGATATTTTGATATTAAAATTTTAGACTCAAAATAACTTCAGGAAACTATTAGCAGGCAATGCGTTAGGTCTATAAACACCCCGTATAAGAGCAATAAATGAATAAATTATAAAGAAATGAAAAAAATAGTAAAAAGATATTTATTTCTTATATTTTGTGTATCTTATAAATTATTAAAATTATTTAATTTCTTTACTTTTGTTAA